GTTATAAACTCCTGCAAGACCATTTCAGGCATGTCCGAGCCCTCAAGGTCTGGAATAGCCTGCCATCGGAGGTGGTTCAAGCACCTACTTTGAACGTCTTGAGGAAAAATTTGGATGTTAATCTTGCTGGGATCCTATGACCCCTGCTGACTTCCTGCCCCTGGGGTAGGGGGCTGGACTCGATGATCTTCCGAGGTCCCTTCAGCCCTAATGTCTATGAAATCTATGAAATCCTGTAATGGTGCCTGGAGTTGCCAGACTTCACAGAAGGCTAGTAAGACTCTGACTGCCAAGATCATAGAAAGCTTAAGTATCTGATTTTAAGTCACTGTGCTTCTTGAAAAGGACATTTACTACTTTGCAGCACTTAATGCTTATGGAAGTGCCAGTAAATAGTTCGTAAGTGTTACTTACAGCTTGGAAATTTTATCATCATGTACCACGGTGTGTTTTGTAGAATCCTGCTAAGTGAATTTTGCAAGGTGGGGGTGGATGGGAGGAGGAGAATACCTCTTGTTGGTTTTATGTACAGGCAACCCCTCCTTAGCACTCGTAATTGGTTCCTGAAAAACCAGGTGTTAAGCAAAATGAGTGTTAAGCAAAACCGAAAATATTTGATGACCCAAAGTGGTGACCGCAGTTGTTTTTAATGACCCAAGATGGCAACCGTGAACATTATAATGAAACTCACTGAGCACTAAGTGAAATCAGGTATGAATTTCAAGTGAGTGCTATAGCAAAATAGCACTAAGTGAAACAGCATTAGGCAGTGGTTGCCTGTACTGTACACTGTGGTGTGAATTATAAAGCACATACAGAAATCCTCTTCTGTTACCAAAGACAGCATTTTTATTGAGTTCACTTTTTAAGGTTTATTTAATTCAGTATTTCACCTCTACTCCACGGTTTGATTACAGTTCTGTAACTTGTAACCAACAATGTTGTATATGTATACTGTTCTCTTTTAAGCTTTATTTAATACAAATTATGTCTCTACTGTTAAGTTCAATACAGGTGTTTCACTTATCCAAGTAAACTCAACAAGCACTATCCAGACTGCTTTTCAGAGAGTGCTTTCCAAAAGAGTTCAGATGAAGGTTGTGCTATCATTGTAACCTCAGGGCCTTCTTGCAGACGGTAGTGAGTTTATCATGGGATCCTAACTCAATTCCAGCTCTGTTGGATACTCTGCCCCCTAAATGCTCACTTGAGTCACATTGGATTGTATGGACTTTCATATTCTACCTTGTTGGAAGGCACTACTGCAGAGAGTTTCCACAGTGCAGCCTGATAATTGCCAAGTGCCCCAGATCTAGATGGTGGATTACTGGGAGCCCTTTCTGATGCGCAACTCAGTGTGTAAAGGTATGTGGCTGCTATGTAAAATGCCTGTGTTTGTGTGTGTGTAGCTCTTCAGGTGCTAAGAAGCAGCTGGCTCATGAGATGGCCAGACCCCTCTCCATTGAGCGACCTCTTGCTGTACACCCATGGGTCAGTGCCCAGCTTCGGAATGTAGTCCAGCCTTCTCACCCCTTCATTCAAGATCCTACCATGCCGCCTAACCCAGCACCCAACCCTCTGACCCAGCTGGAAGAAGCCCGCAGGCGGCTGGAAGAAGAAGAGAAAAGGGCTGGAAAACTGCCCCCCAAACAGAGGTAAGGTGGTTTGGTCTGATCAGGTTGGAGAAGGGCCATGGTGAAGGAGGATATCCCATAAGCACTACCATGAAGCTAAGAACAGGTTGTCTCTTCTCTATTCCATTATTCCAACTGTAGTTTTCAGGATTCAATGAACAAAAAGACTGTGTGAAGTGGGAGCGAGCCCTAGATCTCTTCACACTATACCCTCCAGTGCACAAAGCCTAACAGCTCCCAGGAAGCAGAACAGTGACTAAGGAGTGATGGGCACAAAAACTGCCCGAGACTCAGAAGTGTGTCCTGTAAATGGAGGGATCAGGGTTGCTTCCCTCTGTGGTGTAGTTTGTGTTGAAACCAAAAAAAGCAAAGTCTAACCCTGATAGATGGAGAGGAGCTGTGCAAGCAGTCCCTGGATCCCTGCTTGGGCCAGGCACATTTAGGGTTCACCTACTGCCACCAACTCCTGCATAGGAGAGCTCACTTGTTTTTAACTTGTCCATTGTGCCAGTAAGCTGGTTTTAATGGTCCTTATTTGGTGCCAGTAAGCTGGTTTTAATGGTCCTTATTTGGTGTGGTGCCTTGTAACCCCAGACACGTGCACTACACTGAGAAGAGATTATTTCAAATTGGAAGCAGTAAGATGATTGGTACTTAACATAGTCCTCATGATTTTAGAAGCCAAAGTAGCAGAGATTGTTCTGGTGATGAGAGTAGACTAGGGGGAGTCAGAAATCGTGGGTTCTAATTCTGCTGTTACACTTGTACAATTCACAACCAAGTCACTTTACCACTCAGTTTACTTGCCTGTGACACAGGGATAATAGTTCTGTCCCTGCATTACCTTGAAGAGGAGGTATGAAGCATGTTAAACTTCTCAGATGAAAGGCGTAGCTTAAAGATCTTCATTGCCATGATTGCTTCCTTTTATAATGGAGGTTGCATACAATCACTCATATACTTTGATATATCTAGAATGCTGCTATAAACCTCAGAGGCTGACTACTTACAAACAATAGCCTTCAATGTGATGCTGCGGCTAGTAAAGCGAGCAAAACGCTGGCTTGCATCCATAGATGCTTCTCGAACAAATCCCAGGACATCATTATCCCCTTGTACTCGGCCTTGGTGAGGCCACAGCTGGAGTACTGCATCCAGTTTTGGGCTCCACAATTCAAAAAGGATGTGGAGAAGCTTGAGAGAGTCCAGAGAAGAGCCACATGCGTGATCAGAGGTCAGGAAAACAGACCTTACGACAACAGGCTAAGAGCTATGGGACTCTTCAGCCTGGAAAAGCACAGGTTCAGGGGTGATCTGATGGCCACCTATAAGTTTATCAGGGGTGACCACCAGTATCTGGGGGAACGTTTGTTCACCAGAGCACCCCAAGGGATGACAAGGTTGAACTGTTATAAACTCCTGCAAGACCATTTCAGGCATGTCCGAGCCCTCAAGGTCTGGAATAGCCTGCCATCGGAGGTGGTTCAAGCACCTACTTTGAACGTCTTGAGGAAAAATTTGGATGTTAATCTTGCTGGGATCCTATGACCCCTGCTGACTTCCTGCCCCTGGGGTAGGGGGCTGGACTCGATGATCTTCCGAGGTCCCTTCAGCCCTAATGTCTATGAAATCTATGAAATCCTGTAATGGTGCCTGGAGTTGCCAGACTTCATAGAAGGCTAGTGTCTCAGGTTAGGGGAACAATGCAGGGAGGAAAGCAAAAAGGAACCAGAGTGACTGAAGAACACAGGCCCCCTCCCCTCAGAAGAAAAGCAGGAGTACAAGATGCCGGCTGTGTGGCTTTTCAAAGGGTCCTCAACTTTTGTATGTCTCTGGGAAGGTTCATTTCCCCATTCAAAATGCCTTGTACCATACACATTTACCAGTTACCCACCCCCTGCTTCTTTGATAAATACCCTGGAAGTCAGAAGAGTCATCACTTGTCTTCTATCCTTAATCCTAAAAACAAGCTGCTTGTAGATGAGAGTGAATTCTGTCTGAACCAGCAACACGCTGGCCCCCACTGAGTTTTGTCTCTGGAAAAAAAGCAAAGAACAACAGCAGGCCATTTTGTCTGTACCAGTGGCCAAGACTGATACCAAAACTGATACTTTGCTTGCAAAAAATCAGCCTTTTTCTCTATATACAATGAGCTGGGGGGGCAGGGGGAGGAGGCTCTACTCTAAGGAAGTACATGCATGATTGTAAGGTGTTCAGAAGGCAGCAGAAATGGTTAGTGTCACATACACTGTGACCCACTGTTTCCCTCAGGTAGTTTGTTTAGTTTACATTCCCCATTAGATGTTAAAAACCCTTTGGTAGGTGATAGTTTCTACCAGCATTTAAGATTAAAAGTGTTTTCAAGTAATAAACATATAGTTTATTAAAGCACCTAGCTTTCCAGCAGGTATTTTGATATGCAATTAGTCTGTAATGAATGAAGCCATGATGAGGGCAGAGAACCAGACTTCAGGTTAGTTGATTAGCTGTATCTTGCATCAGTAGTAATGTTTACTCTGCTCTTTTACAAGGCCTTACAAAATGGCTTAGGTACGAAATCCAAGTTAGAACAACAAGCACTAACAAGCTGATAGTACTGAAGACCGAGTAGCTCAGTGCAACTGGAAGCCATATAGAAGTATCCATTGTGGGAAGGTTCTTTTGGAGTTGTTCACACTTTTTCTTTTTAAACAATCCAGCACAACATTTAATGTTGGCACAATTGGACAAATATTTGGCATGTGAGTTTTTTCCTCAGAATGGCAGAGAGCTAGTGAACAAGGCAGCAATGGAACAGTCCCCAACTGTATTGGAAGGTGCACTTGAATAGCCATTTTCAGTCCAACCTCAGCTTGTTAGAAATAAAGTGCTCAGCAGTTTCAAAGGGATTGCACCTGATAGATTTGCTTCTTCCAGTTTGATAACATTTTGATCTTGCTTTACTATCACTGGAATCACTTGCAAATTAGGCAGATGCAATACGATCACTGCTCACAGAGGGTTTGAAGGAAATATCTTGTTGTTTTGAGGTCTTGTGGGGCACATGCAGGAGCCAAGTACCCCGGGCTGCTTCTTTATCAGGATTACTTCCACAGAGCTGAGTGCTCTCTGCAAGGCATTTTGTTCAAACCTTTCCTTTCTAGTCAGCTGTCAACCTTTTATGTGAGTGCTTAATCACACCACCAAGTTGTTTTTAATAACATCTGTGTGTAAGGCTTATTTGCAACTGAAACTGTTACCATCCAAGCTGAGAGATCTGTGTAACTGTACCAAACTGTATTATAGAGGTGAGACAGGAAAAGCATCCATCTGACCAATACGGCAGTTCTGTGTAGCATTATCAGTCTTCCATCAGGAAACCATTTTTATTCAAAGCCAGGTCAAGCAGCCAAACTGGCAAAGGAGTAGATTCCTCTGGAGTGTATGCATCAATGGGAAGGGTGATAATACACTAACAGAGGGACTGTCTACTCCAAAAACTTGTTCAATGCACGTCTATAACAGGGCCATTTGATTGCTTTAAAATACACATAGCTGTATCTTGTTGTGAAGAGCTGATTTTTGAACTCCTGTCCTCCTTACTACCAGGGAGGTGGAAAAAATGGGACATGGTTTTTCCTAATCAACCCAGTGACTGAGATGCTGCAACAACCTTATTAAAATCTGTATTGTGCTGCAGCCTGACAATAGAGATGGTTAGCCAACCCTGTCTAATTTCTGAGATTGTTCTTTAGGTATGTTCAAGAGGTTATCCAGCGTGGTCGCACTTCTGTCAGACCAGCTTGTATTCCAATGCTGAATGTGGTACCAGCTGTCTCCAACATGGATCTCTCCAAGTCTGAGTATGTGCCACTACTCTTCATGTGTTCTCCGTAAACTGTAGTCTGTCTGTAGATTCCACTACTAGCAGCACATGCTGCTTTGACTTATGACAAAATTTGGTGATGCCCAAAGACTTAGCTAGGGCTCCCACCCATAAGCAGCTGTAGCTCCCAGCCATTAGCAGCCTATGTCTGCATTTGGGAAGGAAGTGACTATTTTCATGTCAGTGCTTAACATCTGAGCCCATTTCCATTACATTAGCATTTCTCCTTCTTTTTCTGCAGAGGGGGATTCTATGATTTGACCAACCCTCAGAGTAAGATGGGTACCAAAGAGATTTAGTCCTTCAGGAGGGTACACTATAAATATTTAGTTCTACTGCTTCACCTGGAGGGGAGGATGAATATGCTTTAGCAAATAATTTGATTAACTCAAAAAGAGCTTCAGAAGCACCCATTCCCCTCCTGTGCTTTCTCCATCCTTTACAGAATCACAGCCATTCTTTTCTCACTCCTAGAAAGAGGTGATATAAAAAGGCTGAGGTATTCCTAATCTTACCATGTTTATGTAACAGCCATGTACCTGGCAGAGGAAGATTCCAAGCCCCAGGCAGCTTGGAGTACCAGAAAATACAATAGCCACTGTCAGTAAGGAATCCCCTTAACCTTATTGCTGGAGTGGAGCAGTGAATTGTCAGGTGTGGGCAACACTCCTGGCATTTGCCTGGGTTTCTTAGGTTTCAGGTTCTTAGAACAGACCAAATCTTTTTCCATCTCACAGAAGATGAACAAGGGCTTATTTACTTAACAGCATTATGGACATGGACAAAGTGGATTGAACTTGGTGGATGCTGTGTGTAACATGCATATTTCTGTACCACAAAACCACAGTCTGGGTTTCTTGGCACATAAGTAGTCATCTTTTAGTCATCACTCTTTCTAGAGGGGTTGAAAGAACCTTGGGGAATTTAAGGTTTTCCAAACCTCTCATTAACTTTTGGCTCACAAGGTTAGCAAAGCTTGCCCAAATTTAATTTAAATGCATGTCTTTTTTCCCAAGGATAATTCAACTTTTAAAATATTTTTCTAGCTAAAGGGCAGCCTGTGCTCTGTGGCAGGGATAGGAGAGACCCTGAGAGCTTTACTAGCTCTGGGAAGACCTTTTGAGCTTGAAGAATCTGCATCTTTTTTCACAGCCTCTTGAGCTGCCTATATACAACTTCCCTTGCCAGAGACATGATTGTTTCATAAACACACTAAGATTAGGAACATCTCAGCATTCTAATACCACCTCTTCCTAGGAGCGAGAAAAGGACTGCCATGATTGCTGCTGAGTTGTACATAGTTGTTGAGTTGAACTTTAGATGGTTTTGAAAGTGGCAGAAGGATTTTCCGCAGCTCTGGAGTTCATATTTACATGGGCATGGCATTAAAAAGTCACTCTGTGTGAGAGCCAATATTTAAAGGTTAGTGTCTTGGTTTTTCTGACGTAGCAAGATTGTGATTAGCTCGTGTGCTTGGCAAGTTCCATTGTTATAGCAGCTTTCCAGTCATATAAATACAAAACCATCTTTTATTCCAATATACTGTTTATAATTTTTAAAGCTGCCAAATGTATTTTTATATGCATTTTTTAGAAAAATCTGTCTTTGCAAAGATCACACATGCCAACTGGTGAATTTCTCTAGACTTTCTGAATGTCTGTGATGTGCTTGTGGAGACATGGATGAAAGGCACTAGAGAAGTGCAAAGTAGCATTATTCTTCATACTACTACAGGCAACCCCCACATAGCGCTCTTAATTGGTTCCAGAAAAACCGAGCGCTAAGCAAAACCCATTTGCCCATAGGAATGAATGTAAATATAGGTAATTGGTTACCACAGCTTCTTGCTGCCACTTCTCGCCACCGCCGCTTCTCCCTATTAGCCCACTGGCCGCTCCAGTCCCACATGCCAGTGTGGGCCTGCATTCCTGCTGCTTCACCCTGGGCCCCCACTGGCCCTGGCCCTGGGCACCAATGCAGGCCCTGTGCTGATGCCCCTCCCCCCCCACTCACCACTTCTCACCGCCACTGCCTCGGCCTGCTGGCCCCACATGCCAGCCTGAGCACCAGCACTCCTACTGCCCCACTCTGGGCATGGGCCCCTGCTGGCCCTGGCCCTGGGTCCCGCACTCCTGCTGCCCCACCCTGGGTGCAGGCCTCTGCTGGCCCCACACTCCTTGCCACTGCTGCTGCTTCAGCTGGTGAACTCAGGCAGTAGAGCATCCCACAGGAGCGGGGTGGATGTTTGCAGCCAGCGGGGAGCAGGGGGGTTTGCAGCGTCCCTGATACATGCCTGGCTAGCTGTAAACCCCACCCCGCTCCCCGCCAGCTGCAAAACCACACCCCCTCACCACACTTGCTGCTGCCGCCTTCCTGCCAAAACTTGCTGATTCCACTGAGCGCTATAGCGAAACTCTGAGCGCTCAGTGAAACTAGGTATCAATTTTAAATGAGCGCTATAGTGAAATAGCGCTAATTGAAACCGCGTTAAGAGTGGGCTGCTGGTACATGTATCCACCTTCAGAACAGGGCTACAAGGAAAGTGACAACACTGCTGTAACACCATAGCACTATGTAATTCAACACTTGGAAGCACAGGCTGTAAATACAGAATGCACAGACTTCTGAATTTAAAGAAATAATAGGCTGTAAAATGTATGCTGCCACACCTAGAGAATGCCTGCCAGCTTCTGCCCTGAAGTCTGCCACATAAAATGGTTGGTGAGCTGTTAGCAGTTATTATGATTAGGCTCTGTCATCCAGCACCTCAGTGCCATACTCTGTGACAGGGGTGTCAAACTCATCCAGCTCTGAAGCTATGGATTGTAAAATAATTGAAATCACTGTACTAAAAATTGACCAAAATTCAATCAAATTTTATTAAAAACTATTTTCCTCAATTTTATCCCTTTCTTGCAGGGTACATCTTATATACAGGTGTATCTTAAATTACCAGAAAATACAATAGCCAATGTCAGTAAGGAGTGCCCCAGTGTTAAGGTGACCTGAATTTCTTGGGTTTGCTTCTGCAAATGCCCTTAAAACCACTGAAAAGTCACACTGGCAAAGAGGAAACAAATGCTGATCTTGAAAATTCCATCTATGTTCTACAATTTCGTGTATAAGAACAAAAGAGAGAATCCTGTTTGCATGAGTGTTCAATAAATACTAATGAAATGCTGTACTGAACTGGCTCAGCAAGGCTGGCACTGGCCTCGGTTTGCATTGCAGACTTGACTGCAGTGCTCCTCACACTGACTTTGCATCCCAGAGGAGCTCAGTTCTGGACCCTGTTCAGAAATGGTTGCTGTGGCTCATATGCAGAGGAAATTTCCTTTCCTTCAGTGTCCTGCACTAAAGGGAGTGAGGAATAACTGCAGGTTTCAGGCTAAGGCTACTCTTGCCTAGCTGATGCTGAATATCCTGCTCTTGATGATGCTTAGAGTAGCAGTGCCTGGTTTGTAGGAAGATTTAGTGGTGTGCAGTATGCTTTTTTTCATGCACAGATTATTTGTCTTGCACCCTGGTGCAGCTAAAGCTTTCTGCTGTAACTCTGGTGCTCATGTAGGCAGACTGATCTTCTGCTCGAAAAGACACAAAGAGATTGCTTCCAAGACCCACCTCCTCCAAGTCCCTGGACTTATGGGAATCTCTGATCCCTCTCCCCATGCTGTGTGATGATACAGAAAGGACCCTTTCCTCCCCAGAATGCCTTGCAGAGGGAGTATTTTTAAATATGCTGTGGCTAAGACCCACATCTCCCCTACTTTGTGGTCGAACTCTCCTGTTTAGTAATGCCATTAGCTGCCCTTCTGTGTGCTGCATAGCGGGGGTACAAGCTGTGCTGGCACACCTGTGTGCTATCTGCAGTGGGTTCAGTTCACAGGTTTGTGCTTACAAAACTGGGAGAGCCTGCCTTTGTAAATAATACACCCTGAGGGCATTTGACTTGTGTCTGGCTCCTACAGTCCCGGTATCCAAGAGTGCTTTACAAACACCGAGAACATTAGACCTTATAACTCCCCCCACCAGGCAAACCAGCGCCTCAGGCAAACTATGCCTGCAGGCTCACAGGCATACAGGTCCTTTGACTTAACGAAAGGCATACTGCACAATGAATCATTGGCAAAGCCAGGAGTCAACCCCCCAACTCCTGTCTCCCAGCCCTGGTCTCACCATGAGTCCATATTTCCTGTTACCTCTGTTAGGTGGCTGCATTTTTCTTGGAAATGGCCATAAACCAACCACATTGGACACTGGATATGTGCAATTCAACCAAACTTTGCAGCAGGGCAATTTTTGTTCCCATAAGTGATCATGTTAGATAGCTGATGGCAAAGATGATTCTGGTATCACCATTCCCACTCAGACCTAGGCTGCATGATTGAGGGCTGGGGACTGCCCACATTACAGGAATAAGCCCTGCCCTGGATTCTAAATCCTCCCTGGAAGTGTCCAGACTTGCCAAAGGCATTATATTCTACTGAATATAATGTATTAGGGAGTAATCCTCCCTAATAAACTGCATGTCCAGTTGTCAGTCAGGCGGCTGTTAAAGGACTGGAACAGTATGTCCTCAGGAAAACATCCTCTCTGGTAGCTGAATCCCGCAAACCCTATGAAACAGTTAGCATGCCCCAGTGTGAAACCCGGTTGCCGAGAGGGCCAGGGCAGTCACTTATTATCCCCACTTCGGATGCATTGCTCCGTGCAGCAGTAAGTGGTTTGTCTCTCTCTGATCCTGTATCTGCTGGGAAAGCTCAATTAATAGAGGTTCATAACTTGTGTCCACCCTCAGATTGTCTGTTGTCCTGACAGAGCTAGAGCTGACTCAGCACAGGGCAGAATGTGGCCTCCTGGCTGGAGTCTGCCTGCTCCCTTGGCACAATAGGGCAGCTTCAAGCTCTGTATATATAAGGGAAGTGCAAAACCTACTTTCAGGGTCCAGCACCATTAAAAGCTTTATTTTTTTCTTCTTCCAAGCAGCCAAGGCTCAGGTTAGCCAGTGCAGACTTCTCCCCAGTCCACTCCTGGATAGAGGCCTCTTTCCCCTTGGGCTTTTCCAACTCTGTACAGCCGCTGTCCCTCACCCACAAGCTGTGAATCTGAGGATTTCTCCAGGACATCCTTGTTTGTGTGGGCCTTGGATCTTTTGAGACAGACCTGTGCTGCTGGCCCAAAACCAGAGGCAGTAGCTAATATGTAAATTTTCCTTCATCTGATGCTGGAAATGAGATTATGCCAAAGGAGGTCTCTTTCCACTGTGGGCACTTGTGGGGGAAGGGGCTTCCCTGTTGCCTTTCTGAGACCTTTGCTAGTTGTGGCAGCTTTGTAGAATATAGCATGTAATACCAGACAGCATCCATTTCATTCACCAGGAAGCCTAAAATAGTTCAAGCCACCAGTCTCTGTGCACATTGGATCCCTATAGCTTGCAGCGAGCACTGATACAGGCTTACCATTAACCCCAGCGTATATACAGTAGTGGAAACCAACTTCCTTGGGTCCTCCCCGTGTGCCTTGGTCTGAGGGAGGCAATGCCTGACTGGCCTATTGGTCAATATTCAGTGAAAATGGTTTTGTTTTCAAATGACAGGTTGAAGCCCCAGAAAAGACCAGGCAGTGGTGCTTCCCATCCATGTGAGAACATTGTGGTTGCTTATTACTTCTGTGGAGAGCCAATCCCCTATCGCACCCTTGTCAAGGGACGGGTGGTAACTCTGGGACAATTCAAGGAGCTGCTCACCAAGAAAGGGAACTACAGGTAAGGCCAAGGAGGAACTGACAGTAAGTATAAAAACCAGCTGTTCAGTCCCCCCTGTTTCTGGAGCACTGCTTTCCAAGGAACACATCACTGGCAGGAATGTTGCCTTTTGACTTCCTCCCAGCTATCCACCAAGAAGAGTGTTTTGGCTTCCCTCTGTGGTTATAGCCCTAACACTTTATGAACAGTCCCTAAATGGTTTGATGCTAAGGAGTGAGTGGTCCTTCACTACCCTGCTTGTGAGGGTCCAGAGCACAGTTCAAAAAGCCAGTGATTGCCATGGGGGTATGTGTTTCCTGAATAAGCCATGTTACTCTCTGTGTGCTACCATGGTATGTTGCCCAGAGCATCAGCTGTCAATTGAATCTTAAGGAGTTCAGGGAGGCCATTTCCTTCTTAAAGAAGGAACTGCATCCCCCACTGCTAACAGCAGGAGGGGATTGTTTCACAGGGACATGCTGCCAATATTTTAAGAAGGACCAGCACCAAAGTATTTCCAAGCCTGTAGAGTCCCTTGGTTCAATAGGGCATGGGGTACAGAGGGGAGGGGCAAAGAACCGCGATTTTGTTGCAAACAAAGCCTTTCTCAAATTGTAAGGGGGCAGGAGCACTGGGCAGAGAGTGGGTGCAGCTTTACTCCCTAGGAAATGCCAGTCTCTGTCCAGAGCAGTGCTGTGAGAAGACAAATAGTTCAGCCCTGTTCCAGTGCAGGAGGGAGTAGGCACCTGTCTGACAGGGGTTCAGTGCCTTAGCAATGGCACAGGGCTGGCCAGGGCAGGGCCACTCCTAACTCTTGGCATATGTCATCTTTAGCACAGGTGAGTTAGCAAGATCCAGAAAATATTAACTCCATGTAACCAACAAAACTGGCAGCTCTTCAAAAATGCTGGTCCACTTAGTGTCAGGAATGCTCCTGGAAGAGATAGAGAGCCAAGCACAAGTGAAGCAATCAAAGGTGCCCACTGTGTGTGTTCTCCAAGACCAAGTCCCATCACTGCTGCATGACCGCCTACCATACTGTGACTAAGAAACCCTAAGTCATTGCCAGGAGGTCCATTCACCTAAGTAGGCTTCTTTATATAATCTTCAAAGTCAGGAAGTAATTTTAAATCCAGATAGGGACCTGCTTAGGGCACTGCAGGAATTCTGCCACTTCTGACTGGCTATGAGAATTTGAGGCTTTTGCTTTTATGCTGGTCTTGTGCTGTGTCTCAGGTTATACACTAAACCAAAGTTGTTTAACTCCATGAAGCCAGAAGTTGGTAAGAGCTCAAGTCTAGTCATTAGCAGGGATCCTGGTTTTCTCTGCTTAAAAACTGAAAAGTATCTTATTAAAGTGGAGATGGGGGAATCCTAAATCCTCTCAGTAAAAAACCCAGAATCTGCATTTCTCCACAATTAAAATGAAATGCCTCTCTCTCTCTCTCTCTCTCTCTCTCTATATATATATATATATGTATCAATTAACACAATATTTTATTGATATATTTACAATTTTAAAGCAATTTGGAAGCCTGCCAGTGCCTCGATCATTATAGTAAAATAAATTCTAAATAACTATATATTTTGGCATTTGATTTTGGATTTTTTTAATCTTAAAAAATCAGAGCTCCCCCTGCCCCCTTAGCTCACCAGGACATGAGTCCAGCTGTGGCTGTCCCCCTGCTGCTTTATGACACTGAGCAACCCTGATATGCTGTTGCCCCTCACCCCCAAGCCACAGCCCCATCAGCCCTGCCAGTGCCCCTCACTCCTGACCCATAGCACCCTGGCTCTGCTGGTGCTCCACACAGACTCGCAGGATGGTGGTCTGCAAGGACACAGTGGGAATGTCCTCCAGCATGAGATGCATGCAGTGCATCTCATGCAGAAGCACAGGCAGCAACTGGGGCACCGCACACTACCCCATGCCACCAGCTGGGGCTGGATCTGCGGTGCAGAGGACCAGCACTGCACTCCACAATAGCACTATGAAATGGAGTACAGCTCTGGCCCAGTCACGCTGTGGGGAGCAGAAGGATGAAGGGCTCCAGGTCCTGTTCTGCCCAGGGCGGGCTGAAGTGCAGCAGCTGCAGCAAGTCCAGCCCTCCCACAGGCTGGAGGGAGGAGGAGGGGAGGCTTGTGGCACCCCTGCCCTGGGCTGGGGCTCCTGTGCCACACCAGACTTCCTGGCCACAGCTTCCCCCTCTTCCACCCTGGCAGTGTCTCCCGACTGCCTCATCCCTGCGAGCCCAGCCATGCAGCTCCCTGCTGCCCGCAAAGGGTCCCTCCACCTTCTTCCTCTGCTGGAGGGGCAGGCATATCTCCTTTGCCCCTCAGCCCCAGCGCCCAGACAGCTTCCCCCAGCACCAGGAGGCACCCACCCCTCCACGCA